ATAATAAATTCTTCATTTGTTCAGACTAATAAAGGTTTAGATGTCTTCTCATATTCTACGCAGTGAGCTTTGAATTTATACTGCACATTTTGATAAACATAGCAGGTCATATACGTTTTTCACGTATACAGATACAGGCATAAAGCAAAAATAGTGTGCTAGTACATACTCCAAGAGTAAGAAAGAGCAGAAAACAGGCTGATCTTTCCTCAGTTTCATCTTACTGTAAGATATGACAAATGGCGGGGTCAGTGCGCCCGATGAGCGCGAAGATTAGTTCTGACCTTGAACATGACCTCTGCCGTTTTGGAGAGGAGAGAGGAGGAAGAGGGGGCCGCCGGCGTGCCGTTATTTCTCTCGTCATTAGGGGTTGTTTCCAGTCCGAGTATGGGGTGGGATTGGGGGGGGGTATTAATTTCATTTCTTTATGATTCACAATCTGCTCTTTTGAAATATGCCATATGCTCGGAGCAATCGGAGGATGACAAGTGTCGGAATCAGTCCGGTAAAGAAAGCCTAAATGAGGCTGATTTACGACCCCTGCCTCCCGGCGAGTCTGGCTTTCTGCCTCCCCCTCTTTTTTTCCCCCCTTCACGATAAACTCCCCCAGCATGGGCAAACAGCACGCCGTCCCGGCTACACGTGTACCCCTCTCCTGATCAATCCCACATAGAGGGCTGATAACGCTTCACAGGAGAATCCCGCAAAAAAAAAGCTGATAAAGAACATGGAGGCCCAGTACATATTTATTAGGGCGGGTGGGCATGCAATCAATACGGAGGAGCAAAATCAGTTTGTTTTAATCATGAACAAACATATTGACCTAACACAATACAGGCCACTTTATCTGGGACTAATAAAAATTCATGGACTGTAAACAGGGTGAGGTACTATCTCTGCTCTGCACTCTTTCTATTTCCCTCTCTCGTTCCTCTGAAATGAACGTTTTACTGAAATGTGTTAAAATGACAAAGTGAGTCTGGCTGGCTGTAGAAAGTGTGACATGATGACAGAGATTGAAATGGAAGACAATCTAATCGCCGACTCGCAGTATTGTAATATTCAGCCGTGGTTTTGCTAAATTGGTTTAAGAGAATCAAAAGTCAAGGCTCATTTGAAATATTACTGATAAACCTATCATTTAACATTTTGCATTATATGCTCAGAGTTCAAGATAAGAAAGAAAGAATTAAAATGATACATGATTCAGCACACTATTTCTCATTCAAAGTGACTAACAGTACATGTAGTTAACAGGGACTGACTCCCTGGAGAAAACTGCGGGTTAACACCAATTTTTCACGAAGAAGCGATTTGTCTGTCTACAGTGAACCGCATGCAAAGTGAACAATCTCAGCCAATCAGATCATTTTTGATATGCAGAGGACTATTTTTGGTCCAATGAGTTTTAAGGTGGGTGGAGTAATTAAGCCTCTAAAAACTGCTAGAACATGGTATCTTGGGAATTTTAAAGCTACACTGTGTAACCCTTTTAGTTTATTATAGCTAAAAAGACTTAGTTCTTTCAAAAATATATGTGCTCATTAATGTATATTTAGTTCGTTCAAGTAATAAAGTATTGTCGTGAGTGTATAATATGCCACTGAAAATACATACGGGTAAGGGGTTCTAATGTCGGTCGCTCCATCTTGAAAGTACATTAGCCAAAGAGGGACATACCCGTTAATTCAAGCTTCGCCTTTCACGTTTACGTTTGAGTTAACACTCATGGACGAGGTCGAACTGGAAGCCATGTTAATCTGGACTACATTGGCCACCGTAGGAGTTAAAACGAAATCGGAATTGAGAGGAACAGAAACTAATATTCACTGGATGTTCATATACCTTTTCACCACTAGATGGGGGTAAAAATCACACAGTGTAGCTTTAACAAAATATTAATCAGCAAAAACTGTTTTATGCCTTTCCTTTCAACAAGAGTAACCACCATGGGTTTCCTGTGAATGGCATGTTTTAACATTTCTGTTTGAGAAAAACTTATGAGCCATTTGTCAGCCAAGCTGAACTTGAGCTAAAAGTTTTCTCTTTCTGCCTTATTTTCGACAAGAATCACCACTGAGGGCTTTTATTCCTGCGAAAATGTGGCGTGTTGGTGTTTCAACAGCACGGTGAAGAGCTGAAGAACAAAGGGAATGACGCATACAACCGCATTTATATGCTGTGGGCAGGTAGCCCCGCCCACGTCGTCATGCGCCATTGGCCTTTCAGGCGTGAATGTAGGTGTCTTCAGCAGGTGGCGCTAGAGCGCGATATCCCATAGTATTGTGTTGTACCGAGTTGACCGACTGAATGGGAACTGTTTTGAGCACCAAATAAGCATATTAGAACGATGATCATTCTGATCATGACATTGAAGACTGAAGTAATGGCTGCTGAAATTCAGCTTCCTCACAGGAATAAATATATAAATAAATAAAAATCGGAAAATTGAAAAGTTTCTTTAAATCACAATAGTATTGCACAAATATTGCTGTTTTGATCAAATAAATTCAGCCTTGATGAGCATAAGAGAACTCTTTCAAAAACCTTTCATTATTACTCTTACAAAAACATTAACAATTAAAAAAAAATCACCGATAGTGTACAAACTTTGGGTTACTGGCCTGGATCTTTAACCACGAGCCACCTCATCCCACTTGCCATTTCCCAGAGATATCACCCAAAAACGACCTTTTACTCACCAAACCAGTGTGATTTACATTCTTCTGTTGAACACAATTATTTATTGAACTTTTTTGACATGATCTTAAAATGGGAAATGCAGTCTAAAAAACACAAACATAAAAGTACCATAAGTAGTCCAATATGTACTTACCTATATCCAAACTTTAGAACACTACTGCATTGCAATTTATCAATGTCAATCCAGATGCAAGCAATGAGCATAACTTCACTATTTTTAGGAAATACATGATACTTTCAAGTCACTTTTAAGGTGCTTTTTGTCATTTTTGCAGCTAGATATTCTAGGACACAATGTAAAAGTTTTGCCCGAGAGCACAATGGTTGATGTGTACAGATGTGACGCAATGACACAAAGACATGCTCGAATCTCTCGCGGAAATCCACCAGTACCACTGGAATTAAAAACAGGCTGGTTATGTATTTTCTCAAACATGTATTTTGAATCATTTTTAACCCAAAAAAGGCTACGGACTGCAGCTTTAACGGACCAGGGGCCAGATTTACTAAACAGGGCAATTTAGCATGAGAGAGCAATTCCAAAAAAGTGGAAAGTTCAGCGCGTGATCTACTATCGACACGCAAATTAAAGAACACAGACGCAGTCAGATCATTTCCATAATGACCAACGCAATCTACCAGTTAGCATCTGGTTTAAAGGGATAGTTCACTTTGAAATTAATTTTTGATATGTTTTAGCTTACCTCAAGGGGATCCAAGATGTTTGTTTCCACAGTATTTTCAATTTTGACATTTTTTGGTCAAACCGTTGTTGTCTGTCAGTCATACACTGGAGGTGAAGGGGGTCCTCAATCGGTTCACCTCATAGAGCATGCACAGAGAAGTCAAAATGAAACACGATTTAATGACTCGTACATGTAAGTACACATTGATGGCCTAAGACACGAAACGAGCGGTTTGTGTGAGAAAACGAACAGTATTTATATCGTTTTACCTCTTGTAATCACAGCCATGACAAAATGATCTGACGGCACGGGCGCTTCGGTCTGCGCGTGCGCTTGAAGTGATCGCTTGTGCGCCGACGTCACTCTTGGTTTATACAGAGATTTCGGAAGTTTTACCTTTCACTAAACATATTTAGATATACGGGAAACCGCAATGGAAGACGATTTCGGTATATCTAAATATGTTTAGTAAAAGGTAAAACTTCCGAAATCTCGATCACTTCCGGCGTAACATTGAACTGATTCAGTTCGGTTCAGTTGGACATTGAACAACTGATTCAGATCACTTGGATTACACGAAGTAAAAACGTATAAATACTGTTCGTTTTCTCACCAAAACCGCTCGTTTCGTCTATTAGGCCATCAATGTGTACTTACATTTACGAGTCATTAAATAATGTTTAATTTGGACTTCTCTGTGCATGCTTTTTGGTGGACCCCCTTTGCCTCCAGTGTATGACGTATAGACAACAACGGTTTGATTGAAATATGTCAAAATTGAAGATACTGTGGAAACAAAGACACCTACATCTTGGATGCCCTTGAGGTAAGCTAAAACATATCAAAAATTAATTTCAAAGTGAATTATCCCTTTAAGATGTGCTTTTTTGGGGATGGTAAATAATGCCGTAAACACCAGTAAATTGACAAGCGCAAACCTTAGTAAATCACCTTGCATGATTCATTTAAATACTCTCCTCTTTTTCAACGCCAAAAGAGGGTTTGCACTCGAGCAAGCTGTTAGTAAACCTGGCCCCAGTTGTTAACCAGTAAGACACCTCACCCTACTTGCCCTTTTCCCCCAAATTAGGAATAGTTCACTCAAAATTAAAATCCTGTCATCATTTACTCACCCTCATGTCGTCCCAATTCAATATAACTTTCTTTCCTTTGTTGAACAGTTACTTTTCTCAACACAATCTTCCATATATTGTGAAATGAAGCTCCAAAAACACCAACCAAAAGTACTTCATACTTGATGCAACACATTCTGATGAGAATTTCATTTAAGATTTTTACTGAACTTTTGTTCTGTTTATGACATGGATCAGTCAGAAGACTTTGCAATCTTCTGCAAAAAGTACATTTATGATATTTTTAACGTGCCGTTTGTAAAGCTTGACAGACCTAGTTAAAAAAACAGCACTCAGGACATTCTGCAAAATACCTTCCTTTGTGCCCCATGGAAGAACGACAGTCAGAAGAGTCTGGAATGACATTCCAGTAAATAATGGAGTGATCTCTTCCCCAATGTGGAACATTTTCAAGACCAGCTTCACGTACATCGAGTCGACTGTAGTCAGCAATTTTAAATGCAAAAGACACGCTTACCTTATACAGGTGATGCTGCTGTTCCTCTGACATCATCAGGTCATGGCTGTCCGTCACTATAGATTCCATGTCCATCAGCCAATCCCAGAGCTCCTGGTACTCTGCCTCGAACTCTGATAGGCTGGATTGAAAAGAAGAAATATGAGACGGGCAGAAAGTAGTTCACAGCTTCACCGGCTCAGGTGAGGTCTGGAGAGACGGTGTACAGACATATTTTACTGGGTGAATATTTGACAAGCAGAGGTAATTACACTAGCCCGTTAGCGGGCGGTGCACCGAGGCGCAGTGCGTCGTGGGTATGTGAAGTGTGAAAAGAGTCCGGGAGCACAAGGGATCTTTAACCTGCGCTCTGAGTGACGGCTCGTGAGGCAGAGCATCTTAATTAAACATGACTTCACCTCCCTCGTGCTCAACGCTGCCGTCAGCTCGACGGTGAGGCGCAGTCCATGTTTTTTAACAGCACTGGGATGATTGTACGTACGTGCATACGTTTACACTACACTACAGCCGCACGCTCATTCCAGAACATCAACACACATGCACAAACAAACATATTAGCGTCTGAGCTTTGCTTAGATTTGCGCCTCAGCAGGAGGCCCGCATGTTTAGAAACATTAGTCGGAAAATTGTTTGGAATTTGCACAGCTTTTGAGCGCTTTGACAGTTCTGTCAAACTTAGCACCATTCTCCCCCCCTCTCGCTTTTACAAGCGCTCCTGTTGTCGCAAGAAGAAGAAAAACTATGAATGAGATTACACAAATAACGATCAAACAAGGGTGCGGGAGAAAAATCAACATTTCTGTTTTATTTCAATTCAGAGCAGGCACAAAAGAAACAGGAATGCGCTATCGAATGCTAGCACGGATGAAATTTCAACAAGGATAGTGCTGCGAATTAGCATTTCCAAGCAGGCGCTGATTAAACAAAAAGACATTGGGGAGTATGTGAAAATTTGAGCCGTGTTTGTACGCAAGACATTGATCAGAACAAAACGGCAAAGACAGCAAATTAGAAACAGTCAGACGTGTGCGGCGGAAGTTTGAAGACTCCCTGAGGCACTGCGTTCTTCGACTGATATTAAAACTCAATATGCTGTTTGTGAGTTAAACAGCATCTTTCTGTATTCTTGCATACCGTATTGTTTTTCGTACTCTTTTTTTTTTTTTCTCTCTCACTAACATAAATCTAAATGCTTGTAAAACAAGCTCTCGGGGCATCCAAACAACATTAACAACAAATAACGAAAAACAACTAGGAGAAAAAAAAAATATGCAAGATCCATTTAGCAAACGTGCATCATGGGATATTGTTCTGTCAGCATCATTTTCTCCTGCTCGCTTTGGTTTGTGAGCAGAATGATTGTACGTCCTTTCCTCTAAAACAAGAACTCATTTAAAGATTGAACCCTGCACTCGGGTGAATCTCACAAAAACGGGGTCCCCCATAATCAAAATTAAAAAAAATATTTATTTTATGAAAAAGAAATTAGTTATATTATTTTCATGATGATGCATATTTTCCTCTCACATTCTCATTACTGTGATTAATCTTGAAATTTAACATTAACCTTTCCCAATTATTATCATCAAATTATTAATAATATAATAAAACATTAGGATTATACACATTTTATATTATATAGTACTAAATATCATACACATATTATATATAACGTATGTAAGTGCATTATGTAATACTACATATAATATATATAACACTACAGAATATACACGAGATGTATATTTATTTATTTATTTATTTAAAAGGGACAATGCATATATATATATATATATAGTCACATTAGTACTATATACAATAATACGGTTATAATAAAATTAGGGGTGAAAAAAGTTAATGCAAATAATGCCGCAATGCAAACTTTATGTTAAAAATAAGCTTTCTTTTAAATTAAGTACATATAAAGATACAATTAAGTTTTTTAATATGTTATTGTACTCCAAAACTCCAACGTTTTTCTCTTCTGAGGAAAATGTTGACTAACATTAAGCATTTCCAATCAAATACTCTCCAGATGTGAATGTTCTTTTCCAAAGCCAACTAAAGGCTATTGGGTTTTAAAAAGGGATGAGGATTTCAATATGTACAAATTATTTATAAATTTACTTTATTAATTTTAATTTATAGTGCTATTTAAAAAAAAAACTGTTCATTCTGTTTAAGCAAAAGACAATGTCTCATTCCTTTCTATTGCTTTTTTGAAACTTGAAGGGTCTTGTGAGATTCATCCACCTGTTCTTTAGATCTCGTTCTACTCATGGAGCGATTTAGTTGACACGCATTAGCCGTTAGCCACTTGAAACCGGGTCAGCGTAGCACTGACACTCCTGTGAGACAGAAATGGATGCCTCTCCATCTTTCTTTCTTTTCAAATCCATTTAACGTCAACGTGCCCCCCACTCAGCACTGCCGCCACCTTTCTAAGAGGGGGGAGGTGGTCTAATTCATCACAGTTCACCCTGAGCCTCACAGGGAAAGGTTGGCTGTATTGACACCCCTCACATCTCATACGAAGTGACAGTTTTATAGAAAGAGCACTTTAATTTATGGTGCTAATCCCTGGCGCCTAATGCGGGGACTCAACATCTCCTTTTCACTGCTGTCTGTTGTGTTTCTCTTCTGGAGAGGGCTTTTGATTTCTGAATGGCAGGCGTCCAGTTTGTATCAGGTGCGAGGGGATGCTGGGAGACGCGGCGGTGGGCGGCAGCTCTTGATGAGGCCGGCGAGCTGGAGAGAGGCACCGGAGGCCATCGAATTCGACAGCGCCTCCCTTAAGACATGTTTCCATGTAAAGGTAAGGGCCAAAGAGTCAAAACAATGAATCCTTGAGCAGGCAGCTCATCATTAAAATTCAAAGGATCATTATGGGTTTTTTACTGCAAAATAAATCATTACGACGAGAAGCTTAAAAGGATTAAAACGATGTTTGATTCAAAGCCAAGGCAAGGAGTCCGGTCCGGATTCTGCGGTTAACACTCAGGACTTTACTGGATCAGGAGAGAGAGAGAGAGAGAGAGAGAGAGGGGAATAGAGGACTAATGGACCACAAATAAAAGGATTAGTCATTTTAGGAGAGAAAAAAAAAGATAATGCAAGTCTGTAATCACAACCATTAAGTGGCATTAGAGAAAGGTTGAATCAAGTCCTTAAAGTAAACCTAATCTACTACAGTATTGATAAAAAGGAAAGATTTATTTTTAAACAAAACAAAATAAAAAAAGTACTCCAGGAAGTTATTGGTATTCTGTTCATAATACTCATCGAACCTCTTAAGAGAAGGATTTGCAATGCACATAAATACAGCTCCAAAGGGTATAGAAAACTTGGCTTCCAAAAAAGTAATACTGATGTACGTAGTTACTGATAAAAATGTCATTAAAAAAAATTGCAACACTTACACAATAATTCCAATATTTCCATCAAAAAGTACTAGTACTAAGTACTACTAAAAAAAGAATGTACTAACAAATGACTTTGGAGGACGTGAAACTCACATTGTGAATGTACAATACTTCAAAAGTGCTCAATACTACAATACTACAATAATAATACAATTACGTAAGCCCTGAACCGCAACCTAAACAAAATCAAATCTGTAAAAAAATAAATAATAATTAACTAGCGTTTCGAGATTAAAGTCGAAACATTTCAAGAGTAAAGTTGAAATATTTCGAGAGACGAAAGTACGAGAATATAGTCTTCCCTAGAAGCTGCCATTGTGCTTGCCATTGTCTCACACACATGCATTCATAATGGCCAATAGCGAGTTTTGTTTCATCAAAGGAAATTCAACAGTTGCCAATCTACCAGCATTAGGCTACCATTATAGGACGTTATAAAATATACTGCGCCGGAATAGACTTTAGCCTATAGAAAAACAAACATGGAAAACACTTTTCAGACTGAATGAATGAATGAATGAATGAATGAATGAATGAATGAATGAATGAATGAATGAATGAATGAATGGGGCATTTATGTACAGTAGCGCTTTCATATGTCTACAAGGCCTACACTCAAAGTGCTTTACAATCATATCAGAGAATCTCTCCTCAACTATTAAATCTTAGGAAATCACAGGATACGACCAAATGATTGGATACAGAATGATTCACTTAAAATGTATCCGGAGCATATTTACAGTGAAGAGGGAGACTCTTATGATAGTGTTGACTAGACGAACATGAAAACACCTCAGAAACACTACCACTAGCACGTGTGACGTGTGTAGAATTTTGTTGAAAGCCCAGATAAAAGTAAAACGCTACTATTTTGTGTTAATCCATGGGAGTTCGACAGTTCTTTACACAAACACACACACACACGCGTGCGCGCTCTGAGCCAGTGGACGCACACTGGTATGAATGCACACACTTCTATGGAAGACTGTCATAATGTTTTGACTTTATTCTCTAAATGTGTCGACTTTAATCTCGCAACGTTTCGACTTCAATCTCGAAACATTTCGACTTCAATCTCAAAACGTTTCGACTTTAATCTCGAAACGTTTCAACTTTAATCTCGAAACGTTTCGACTTTAATTTCACAACGTTTCGACTTCAATCTCGAAACGTTTCGACTTTAATCTCGAAACACTTCGACTTTAATCTCGAAACACTTCGACTTTAATCTCGAAACGTTTCGACTTTAATCTCGAAACGTTTCGACTTTAATCTCGAAATGCTAGATTTTTTTTTATGTTGCGGTTCAGGGCTTCCGTATACAATCCTAAAAAATATATCATAAAAATAATCATTTCATTTGTCAGCTAAATGTTGCTGTTTTTTATTCCTAAATATATATATACAGTATATATACTGTACGTATATCACAAGATGAAATTTAAAGGACATTTTCATCATCAAACGCTAAAGCATTAGACTATATTTTTCCCGGCTCTCAAATGATTTAAAAATGACGATGAATGCCACAATAATGTTATACATGCACACTTTTAATTAATACTTATCAGCATTTAATGCATTAATAATCAGTTTCTAACTTTGTCTGCTAGAATTGATTTTTTCACTGAGCTAGTCACGGTGCACTCTGGGATTGCATTCTCCATGTAATGCTGCTTTAGAATAGGACCAAAAAATAAGGCTGCTCGCTAAGCTTTGAGCGGTCACCTTTCTCATCGTACCTGTTGGACTTGGACATCAGGGTGAAGTCGACACTTCTGCTGTTGGGGCAGTACTGTTGGTTCTTAAGTTTCACTGTCATCTGATCCAGAACATCTTTCTGAGCCTCCCGATAGCTCTGTCGGACCTCCACTTGCTGACACCAAAACAAAGGGAGAGAAAGAATAGATAGAATATCAGCAAACCCCTATGAAAACAATCACCACAATGTCATTGATCCAACTTCAAGAAGTATTATAAAACAATAAACTTGCTAAACTATTAAACTAATTCAGACAGCATTTAGCCGAATCAATACGGCAGCAATAAAGAGAGATGCTTGAAATGGCGTCCCTCCATAACAGAAAGGAGTGTGTTGGTTTTCAGCAGTGATTAGGAAGCACTTGTACCTGCTTTTCAAATCAGATGGAAAAAATATGTATTTCTTCTCGGTGCTTGAGAAAATTGGCTACATTGGCTTGACGGAGATCAGTTATTGTGCAAAATACGAGACGAGCCAATAAAATCTCCAACAGACGGCTTTGATTTTTTGCTCATTTCTCAACACTTTATGAAGCGCGCCGGCTTCGCATTCTCCGCCGAGTGCCCGACGCCTGCTCGGCAGATGCCTCTGGAAAGGTCAGACGATTCCATGAATGTAAACTGCTCCTCAATCAAAGCTACCCTTGATAATAAACAAGAAAATCAACAGAAAGATGTGTCGCTTTTTCATTCCATTTATTGGGCGTGCATCAAACGCCGGGGCTCGGGCGCTTTGCTCATTTGGGAGGAATGAAATGAACCTAACTAGGAGCCCTAGAAAATTAGCGCCGCGAACGTGCCGACTTCTCCTCTCCCTCCTCGGAGGAATTTGCTTTCATTTGCCTTCATTTTTGATTCACTCGGATGGCTCGCCGATGCCATGTCAGGATCCTAATTACTCAATCCCACCGGAGAGGCTTACACACACAATAATAACTGATGCCCACCTCAGACAAAAGCAATTTCTCCGAGCCACCTTGAGTCTAAGGACGGTTCGGCCCAGCACGCCACTACGGTTTCGAGTCGAGGACGTTGTAGTGATAGAGATTTGCCTCTCTTGTGGCTTGCGGGGCTGGTTGTGGCTAACATGCATTTGCATTGATCTCACTCCCCCATCTGTATTAAAAACACAGAGCTGAAATGCATTAGTAATCTTTAAATGCATACGTCTGAGCTTGTGGACGATGTGGCTCCCATGGGTGAATATGAAAAACATCAATATCATGCACATAAACCCACATTCAACAGCCATCCACGCAGCACTTGAAGGAGAAATCGGGCTATTGATGAATGCGTCTCCTCGCGCCATAATGTACGCAGAGCCTGTTCCCACAATGCAGAGCAATCAGTGTCTGAGATAAAGGCTAAGCTTTCATAATCTCAAGGCAGACAATGTCAACCAAAGAAAAACACATGTAAGCCTCTGACTTAAAAGCAAAGTGTCGCTTAATTAATTTTGCTATGGGCTGGAGTGCTCCACGTCAGCCACAGCCACTCTCGGCTTGCCGTACGACCCCTTTACGAACACGTAGCCTCCCGCCGAAGTGGTACTGTAAATAACCCCCCTGATCCTGCACACTACGGTTAGGCTGGATTTCCTGCTGCTCTCCCCCCTCCTGTCCCGTTTAAAGATATTCTTATTCAGATATGCAGACTGAAGGGATTTGCGTGTGAATGTCCCGTATTCTTATTTCAAACAGAATCATTCAAAAACCTCTTGTGCTGTCTGTTTTTCTCTCTCTATCTCTCTCTCTCTCGTGCAGTCAAAAGAGGTCTTGCTTTAAACTGCTAATATGGCAGGAATCAATATAAATTCAATCATTTGATGAATGCTTACCGCCTTCCCTCTAGTGAAATCGAAACTAAGACGTCAGTAAAGTCTGCTGAATCCAGTCATTTTGGGCCCTTTTGTTTACATGCCTGTGTCAGTTCGACGTCTTTTGGGACGCACCATGCATTTCCACTGTCAATCACGATCTGAAAATGTGGCCATCATCGCTTCCTGCATCATGTCAGCGTAGGTGAACCTCACATTATCAATGTATACAAGCTAAACAGCTGGTAGTAGTTTTAAAGAAAATGTCAAAAAGACTGCCTTAAAGATCGGTAAGAGAGAATACTTTGTTTAAAAAGTGCCAAAGTATACCAAATACCGATTGACACAAAATAATACACACTCAACGTCTAGACTAAAACTTACAACACTGTTCATGAAAATATTTATCAAGGACAATTTATTTAAATTGACCAAAAGCGACAGTAAAGACATTACTGTTATTGCAAATGTTTTCTATTTAAAATAAATCCTGGAAAAAAACAAAAACAATAATGGTTTCCACAAAAATATTCAGCAGCACAACTGTTTTCAACATTGATAATAAGTTTAATGTGAAAATGCAGTGAAGACTGATGTAATGGCTACCTAAAAATTTAGCTTTGCAATCAAATAGATCAATTCAATTTCAAAATAATATTCAAATAGAAAATACTCATTTCAAATTGTAATAATACTTCCCAATATTACTGTTTTTACTGTGTTTTTGATCTAATAAATGCACCATAGTTGCGAATAAAAATCTTTTTTCCCAAAACATTAATTCTGTCATGACAACTCTCTGGAGATTGGTATGGTAGAGACTGGCATGGTAATGGATATGGCTAACACAGCCTCATCCCAAGAAGTCATATAACTGACGTCTTGGGACGTCTTTTGACCATACGTCTTCATCCGCCTTTTTAGGGTACCCTTAAACATCGGTTACATGACGATCCCGGGCCGTCATACAACTGACGCTTTACCTTTAACGTCAGTTAGGTGACGGGGTAGGTTTAGGGGTAGGTTTAGGTCTGGGGTAGGGTTAGGATCCGATAACGTCATCTAACCGACGTTTAAGGGTACCCTAAAAAGGCGGATGTTGACGTATGGTCAAAAGACGTCCCAAGACGTCAGTTATATGATGTTTTGGGATGAGACTGCGCTGATATGGCAATGTTAATGTATTTGGTCTTGGCACAGACTTGCTACTGCGAATACATTCACAGACATTTCTACCAATAAGGTAAAGACCCACCAGGCAGCGTTTCATGCCACAACTATGTAACAAATCTTACAAACTCCAAACTTTTGAACAGTAGTGTATATAATTAACCAAAGATGCTATGTATCACTCAATGTATCCAAATTTGAGTGTTTGCTCATCTGAAACTTGCCACCACAAAGTAGGAACTGTTGCCAAAGTGTTGCTAAGGTGTTGTTTACTGGGTGAAGCCCCCTATCTATGGTTATCCCTCCAATTGCTTAGAAAAAACAATACCACACTCTTCAGAACAAGATGCATGACATTAGATGCCATTCATGTCTACACTCACCTAAAGGATTATTAGGAACACCATACTAATACTGTGTTTGACCCCCTTTTGCCTTCAGCACTACCTTATTTCTACGTAGCATTGATTCAACAAGGTGCTGAAAGCATTCTTTAGAAATGTTGACCCGTATTGATAGGATAGCATCTTGCAGTTGATGGAGATTTGTGGGATGCACATCCAGTGCACAAAGCTCCCGTTCCACCACATCCCAAAGATGCTCTATTGGGTTAAGATTTGGTGACTGTGGGGGCCATTTTAGTACAGTGAACTCATTGTCAAGTTCAATAAACCAATTTGAAATGATTTGAGCTTTGTGACATGGTGTATTATCCTGCTGGAAGTAGCCATCAGAGGATGAGTACATGGTGGCTATAAAGGGATGGACATGATCAGAAACAATGCTCAGGGAGGCCGTGGCATTTAAACGATGCCCAATTGGCACTAAGAGGCCTAAAGTGTGCCAAGAAAACATCCCCCACACCATTACACCACCACCACTAGCCTGCACAGTGGTAACAAGGCATGATGGATCCATGTTCTCATTCTGTTTACACCAAATTCTGACTCTACCATCTGAATGTCTCAACAGAAATCGAGACTCATCAGACCAGGCAACATTTTTCCAGTCTTCAACTGTCCAATTTTGGTGAGCTCTTGCAAATTGTAGCCTCTTTTTCCTATTTGCAGTGGAGATGAGTGGTACCCGGTGGGGTCTTCTGCTGTTGAAGCCCATCCGCCTCAAGGTTGTGGCTTCACAAATGCTTTGCTGCATACCTCGGTTATAACGAGTGGTTATTTCAGTCAAAGTTGCTCTTCTATCAGCTTGAATCAGTCGGCCCATTCTCCTCTGACCTCTAGCATCAACAAGGCATTTTCGCCCACGGGACTGCCGCATACTGGATGTTTTTCCCTTTTCACACCATTCTTTGTAAACCCTAGAAATGGTTGTGCGTAAAAATCCCAGTAATTGAGCAGATTATGAAACCGGCCCGTCTGGCACCAACAACCATGCCACGCTCAAAATGTCTTGAATCACCTTTATTTCCCATTCTGACATTCAGTTTGGAGTTCAGGAGATTGTCTTGACCAGGACCACACCCCTAAATGCATTGAAGTAACTGCCATGTGATTGGTTGATTAGATAATTGCATTATTGATAAATTGAACACGTGTTCCCAATAATCCTTTAGGTGAGTGTATAAGAACACAAATGGGGCAATAAATATGTACAATCAAACAATAATTATAGCAAACACCACTAAAAAAAATCCTTTATTTAAAAAAAAAACAACAAATACAACAAAGAGAAATAAAAATGAGAACCAAAAAAAAAAAAAAAACATCAATAATAATAAAGTATTAAAGGCCCGTCAGGCAAAGAATAAACAAACCTGACTGATTTGCCTTCGTAAGCTAGACAGGACTGCTAAAAATCTGCAGATTGTGTTTAAAAAACATGCACTGGAAGAAAACAAATCACGGACATGATCGTCCTTGAGCTTTGAGGCACATGTGTTTCACATCGAAGAAGAGGGCGAAATTCATTGGGATCAAATATAATCCAAACAGAATTGAGTAACGCTCTTCTGTGGCTTCATTGCAATGGAAAAAAACAGAGAGAGAGAGAGAGAGATGGGAAGACAAATCATGTGGCAGCAGGACAGAGTCTCATTGAAAGCAGCTGGAGAACGATATAAACTAACAAAGAGAAAAATGTAACTCTAGTGTGCAGTACAGAAAAACAAG